TATATTATTACTTAAGATATAGTTTTATAAATAATATATTAAATAGAATTAATAATATACTTTCAAAAAATGCTTATATAAGAATAATAACTAGAATAATTAGAAAGTTATATAAAAACAATCTTAATTTCTTTTTATTACTAAAGGTTAAATCGCTTATAAATAGCTAATTAAGAATATTAGAAAGCTAAAAATAAGTTTATTTAATACCTCTTTAAATTCTTTATAAGAATAAATTTGATTTATTTTTATTAAATGAGTATTTAATTTAAAAAATGTAATAAGATACTAGTATATATATATTTAATTATTCTTTCTTTTATAATTAATTCTATCTTATATCTTTAATTTTAAAAATTAATCTAGAAATTATTCCTTTATTTTATCTTCTAGATTTCTATTTATGCGCTTAACTCCAGCAATTCCCCTCTTTATAAAGGTATTTTCGATATTCCTTATAAAACCAAATAGTCTGTTTTCCTCTTTTTCTTTCTTTTTTTGCTCTTTTTATCTCTATATTCTGATTCGAATTAAATCGAAATTCAGAAATAGAAAAATCTTCTAGCCCTAAATCACGCTTTTTAGGGGGTTTTCTTTCTTTTTTTGTACAAAATGTGCAATAGCTTGAAACTAGAACAAGTTAATAGTCTATAGATTGCTAAAATGTAAGCTAAGGAGTCTATCTACAGTGCGGCCAGCGCTCTACTCTATATACTCCTTCATCGAACACAAGGGGTACTACTAGTTAACCTGCGCGGAGCATCTGACGGAGTATCTGCAGGGCCGGAAGCGGTAGCTTCCCTCTGGAGGAGATTGTACTTTCCTAAAGGGGTCGTATCAATCTCCTGTTCCATGGTACTCGTACGGGGAGCCACGTGCCGTACGGATGCCTCTATCGGCGGCATAGTAGCTTGACGGCAAGAGTTCCCTGTGCCGTTGTGGATACGCCATCGGCGCTGCCATCCGAGTGCGGCCATCCGAGTGCGGCCATCCGAGTGCGTGGCTGGTCCCGTGTATTTCCAGCGCCATGGCAGAGGAGATACTCCATCCATCACAAAATGTATAATACCCTCTTTTGATTATCTTTGAATGAGTATAATGCTCAAATAAAGACTCTGTTGCTTCTGGCATATTTTTTTGCTGACTAATAGAGTTCTCGGCTCTATTAATAATATTTGAAGAAGGTTTTCGGCCGGCTTGATAAGCTTAAAATTAATTTTTCGGATAAGGTTGTTTAGTGATTTTTTGAGCGGGATCCTCTGAATCTATACAAAATAGAAGATTAATAAGATCTTCTATATAGTCTCGATGCTGATTTGTGTCTTAATTGCCATTTTGAGTTATTTTAGAGTCATTAATAGCTAAATAAAGTTTATAGCTATTTGTAACAGCTAAATTAAGACACTAAAAAACTCCTAGAAGGAATTCCTTGAGATTTTGATGAAAGTAAGTGGTAAAGGCAGCTCAGAGCTGATTTGCTTGATCTACCCCCCCTATATAATGATTATAATAATTAATAAATAGAGGAATAAAAAGGATTTTGATTGATTAGTCTCTAAAGGGTTTTGAAGTAATTATTAAATTTGACACTAATTTTCAGGGTCTTTTTTGCTCGCGTTTAATTAATTCAGGTAAAGAAAATCCGCTAGTTATTTCTATTTCAAAATCAATTTAATAGCTTAAGAACTGAATAAGATATTAAATAAATAATAAATAAAAGAAGAAAAACTTACTTATAATCACATTTGAATCCTGCTATAACTAATAAGCTATTCTATAAATAATAGTAGCTTCTAAATAACTCTATTCTAATGCTCTATTTGCAATTTTGAGCATTCAAAGTTAAGAGGGATATCTAGCAGCTGATTTTCGAACAGTTCTAGTAACAGTAATTCCACGTTTTTTTAGTGCTTAAATAGATTTCTATAAAGTGAATAAATTATCCAAAAATCAATAAAAACTCAGCTTTTTTTGCTTAATAAATATAGCTAAACACAAAACCAAACGAATAATAATTACAACTAATTGTGTAGGATTCAAAAATGTAGATTTTGTAGAATTTAGAATAGAAATAGAAATATATTTTTTAGCAGCTAAAAACCTCTTATTTAATCCTGGCCTTATGCATTCCTAGTTGAAGATATAACCGGAATTATCTAGAGCAAAGATTTTAAACCCTGTGGGTATAGGCTTGCTAGGAATAATAACTTTCTGTGAAGTTCGATCTTCAAACTTGATTATAACTTTATTAATAGTAATATTTGTGCTTAGAAGCTAATAAAAAGCAGATTTTTGATGAAGAATAGATATAATAGAGTCTAATTTATCCTACTAATTAGCCCTTATAAAAGAAGGATTTTCTGCTTTATCTTTAAAGTATAGAAAAGACATAATTTGCTTAAAACGATTTTTAGGAATAGGAGAAAAAGTAAGAATCCCTCTAGAATTTCATAGATATTTATAAATAGGTTGCTTATGAAGTGCTTGAAGCAATAAACAGCCAAAAAAGTAATATAACTCAAGAATAAAGAGAGATTTCTAAGGTTTTTTTGCAGAATTATAACGAAATACATAGGAATTTGTCTCTTTAATAATAAGAGACATAGTTTCCTAGTTAAAGAATAGCTGGAATAAGGCTAGAGGATACTAATATTGATTATTAGGCAGATTGCGAGGTTTAGCAAGATGTTCAACAATCAGAATTAATTGAAAATCAGGTAAAGGTCAAAGAATTTCGCTGATTTAACGGCCTTTAAAGTGTTCTTCAGCTTCTTCTGGGGGTATTAGAAGCTTATCTAGCTGGGTATCGGCTGTAGAGTCATCAGGGATAGATGCAGCTAATAGAAATTAGTATAAATAATCAAAGAACTAAGAAAAAACAGCTAAAAACAGCTAAAAATAAGTAAAAAAAGCTATTTTTACATACTTGTATGATCATTTGGCTGTTTTTCTGCCCATTTCTTCGGAATAGACTTTGCTTTTGGCCCTTTTTTTGTAGATTTTGGATATAGAGACTCTACAAGATAAAGAGGACCACGTTTTTGATGAATTTCAGCCTGAAATAAGATCTTAACAGAGATATTAGGGTCAATTGGCCTCATTTTAGAGCCGGAGTTAACCGGAGAAGATCCCTTATAGCTATCAGAG